TATATCGAAAAGTGGCACATCTTTAGAGGCTGGAAGCACGGGTGTAAGGTTTGTGACGAATGCGATCACCATTCACACCTATATTGCAAAAAATGCAAAAAAGTAGCAGATGGAATATATAAGCAATGTGAATGTGAAAATTTTATAAAACTCAAAAAATTAAATAATAAATCAGAATTAACGACTTGTGACATCGATGTCACACCTCTTCAGGCATAAATATATAAATTTTATTTGTACCAACTACAAGGCTTATCGTTATACATAACTTAAAATAAGTAGCCTAACTCAAATTTGGTCAATCATCTCCTGACATATACATCGAAAATTTCCTATTGTAGAACATACCATATGTACTATGGAAATTGTCCTAACCCAAATTTATCAAAAAAATTTTAGCGTTTACACAACACTGTTGATATCAAAGATATATAATGTATGTTGCACATGGCTTTTTCCAAAAAAAAATTCATGGAGTTTTATCAACTACATCAGGTCAATGAGTGGACTTGTGTTAAGATAGTAGAATACTATCGTGCAAAAATCAAGAAAAAAGATTGGGGAACCGTGTTGGACAGTGTAAAGAAGGATCTTCAAAAAGTAGCAGAAGTAAATTCTGGCTTTGACGCAACGAGAAGAAGAAAAGCCCAAGAAATAGTTGACCGCTGGAAAGTATGATTATTAGCAATAGTATAGCCCTTTTCAAGTGCAAGCTGTGACTCCTAGTTGACAGTGATGAACTCTTAGTTCGACGCTTAAACTTAAGTGCAAGCTGTGACTCTTAGTTGATAGTGATGAACTCTTAGTTCGACACTTAACCTAAGCGCAAGCTGTGACTCTTAGTCGACAGTGAAGAACTCTTTGTTCGACGCTTCTTTTGCTACTGTTCTAATCCTGCATTTTGTCTGTTAAGCATTGGACTGCACCGACAGATCGTAATATGGATAATCCACATTTTAAAGTTGAATTTCAAAAGGTAGGTTTCTGATCCGACAATTTTACAAGAGTAAAATATTAACATTTTCTTCAATCAGGTGAAACAGCAGGTGAACGCAACAGGGAATGCAGTGACTCATATCACTGACAACCGTTGTACCAAGCATTCGAGATCAAATAATGAAGAGAAAATGTCAAACGCTGAACTACTGCTTCACTAAAAAGGGTGAGTGCAAGATTATCCATCTCAAATTTGTTGTAAAAATAAAGATAAATCTTTCTTACCTGCATAGATTAAAACCACCAAATCTTCATCAGCATCTGCTTCTCCCGTATCTGATGGCGAGAATGAGGAGCAAGATGAACCAATTGAAATTGATCTCATGAGTATTAAGAAACAATTGGAGATGGTACCATTGATTGAGGTACGTAGCAAGCTGAGCTTTTTGTTCCTGCTTTTAAGCCACATTTTTTATGTTATTTACGTGCTTTAGTGGAAGGTTGGTGATATAAATGTCACACAGAAATTTCGTCAGTACCAGCGAAGTGTTATTGACAAGGCTATGAACTATGGATTGAAATGGGATGATTCATATGAGATTTTGTAAGTATTATGAGATAACATGAATCTGGAGAGCAAGGTTACATTTTTTTATTCTAACTAAATATTATTCTTTGCGATTGTACTTAGGGCGTTTGCATCAATTATTGTCCTTTCTTGGCCATGCCCATATTCAAAATTTTTTACTAACCGGGAATGGGATCAAATAACTCAAACCAACCCATATGTGATCCAGTATCCAGTAATACCATCACAAACCTCAACTGTTCTTCGGGAAGTTGCGATGAAGCATCTAATGGGCAAAGAGAGTTATATGCAACCTGATGAATCAGAACTAAGCAAGGCTGTTGCTCGCACGTTTAATGATCTGTATGTTGACTTATTCTTCATCTTTGTCAATAATTCGAAAAGGAAATCTAAATGACTATTAATTTTTTAACATGTTATACATTATTATAGATGCGATGTTCCTATCTATTCTCCAGTCAAAATGTCTGAAGAATTACATTGTGATAAACTGTTATTTCCCTATATAAATTCTTTGTTTTTCAGACGTCTTGCAGAATACGAAGTTCGACTTAATTGTGCCGTAGGTAGCTCAAAAAAACGACCTGACTTCTCTTGTGTTGTTGATGATGTACCTATACTTAACTCTGAGATAAAACCACTTGGAGTAACGCCACTTAAAAGGAAGAAAGACTTTGCAAAAATACATTTAAGAGCGAAGAAGTCGATAAATCAACAACTGAACTTAAAAGGTGGTCCTGGTGAAGCGGGATTATTAATGAATATGGGTATGTATACAATGTATTGCTGGCATTTTATGTATATATATATATTTAAAAATTTGTCACATTCATATGATCTAGGCGATGTGGTTGAATCATTTTTTATGGACTTTAGATTTGGGTTATACTGCTCATGGCCCTTTCATAGAACCAGATTGGCAATTGATAAGGCTTCGATGCCATTAATAGAGTCAAATTTTTGTCACTTCGTAGCATTAGAGGCACGCATAGTTTGTCCTATTTCATTATCATTTTTAGTATATGTTGAAAATCCATTATGAGACTTATAACAACAAATTTCTCATTTACAGGAACGAGTAAATAAACTTGCCGAAGATTTTAAAGGACGCAGTCAACAATTTACACCACCTCTACAAATAAAGTTTATGACCGAATTTCCCGATTCTCCACAACTCAGGCAGTTACTTGAATTATCCTGAGAATAAAGCAAATGTCTATCTTGTCTGTACTATATTAATGCATGGATATCGTAACTAGCTATGAAATTTAGATTATCTCTTTGCATATATACCATAAATAATATAATCGAAGTTTTATGTCTTAGCTGTTATTCATTCTTGTATTAATAAAGCTAGCCCTGGTGGCTGATTTCTATACATAATCAGTTTACTTTTGCATGTATATTTCGGGATTTTATTACATTGTACGGACGTCAATGTCCATATATGATCGATTTTTTTTCTTGGCAAAAGTGATCTGCGTTCCGAAACGGAACGGAACACGTAATTTTTTTTTATTTTGAATAAAATTATGCTTATATAAAAAATTATTATAAAATATGCAAACCGAATTAGATTTGTTGAGACAAGACTTACGGCTAAAATCACAGAATTGGAACAAAGTCAGATTGGGGAATCAAAACTTATGGCTAGAATTGCGGAATTGGAACATGCTATGGAAGAGAGTGTTAAACGTGAAGCTAAAAACATTGAGCTTAAAACTGAAGTGATGAAATTAAGAAATGATGTTGAGGAGCTCAAACGGAAAACCCCTCAAACTATTACTAATGCTCCTTACACGAAAGACAATTTACAATCACAGGTTTGTTCAATATTACCAGAAACTTCCCAGATAAATATTATTTCAACACTTGATGAGGATAACTCCGGAGATTTAGTTAGTAATAGCAGTGCCAGCCCCACCGTAACTATTCCCAATATAACTCAACACACCTATGCAAAGGCTAAATCATTAGAGGATAGAAATATGGATGATTTCCTGGATTTGGTGAATAAAGAAGAGGTAAGTAATATGATAATAGAGAGAAATCGAGAAAAAAAGCTAGCTCAAATAGCTGAAGCTCCCACTTCTCGAGATCAAGAATCGGTACAAAAAACACCTTGTTCTTCTGGAAATCCTACAATTGGGGTACAGAGTACCATTTTTCACGAAATAATTTCCCAAGATACTGCATCTACTCTGACTCATAACCAAAAAACTATTCAATCGGAATCTCTGTATGAAGAAGCAAAACTTCAAGTCACCGACTCATTTACTGTCTCATGCCAAACTTCAGCTAAATCGGAGCAAATATCCATTGATCAGAAAATTCCTTATAATCTGAAAGTAGAACAATGCATAATGCATGAATTATCTGTTTGTGCCACGAAAAATATCGCTATTCAAGACATAGATGTGCAAATTCCTGAACTCCCTCTAGACAAAATATTAACAGGATCTGATGAAGTTACGGCTCAGATTATAGTAGATTTGTTTCATACAGCAATTAAAACTAGACAAAAGGAGAATTTATGTTGGTATTGTTACACTAAAGCATACGAAAATCGAGTTATGGATATTAAATCAACGAATAACATCGATGACAAATCAGCGAGAACATTGGTATATAATGAAATTAAGGCACTTCTTCCTGATATCACTGATGTAAATCTGCGTAAAAGAACTTTCAAAGCTAAAAAAATTTATATGTTGTTTGATGGAATAGGAATAGATAAAATTAGGCAAATAACTTATAGTGCGAATGCTATTTCATGTTTAAAAGATGATCAGATTCAAAATATTATAAATCGTTTTTTCAAAAAACCTACTAACATAGACGATACGATTAATTGCCAAGAAGTGATCTGCGTTCCGAAACGGAACGGACACATGACTGAACCAGATAATATTGATATATCAAACACTGAGGTAAGTACTCTGGCTAAATCACTAATCTCTAACTTTTCCGATTCAAAAGATAAGGTAGATGCATTATCTACACCTCAACCCAAGAAGACCCTACCTGAAAAACAGAATAATTCAGCTCATTATTGTGCTTATTTTCATAATAAAATATTAGGTTGATATCCTGATATACATAGAGAATTTAGTAGTGAAAAATTTGATTATTATGGAATTATTGACAAGTCATTATGTCCAGCATGCAAATCGAGTCATAGAGATGAGAAAAGTATGAAGCTGGATCTTATTTTATTAAATGTGGACAACAAGAAATTGAAATAACTGCGTAAGTAAATAATTACATAAATCTGGTCAAG